TTTTTCAAACTTGACAACTTTAAGATGTGTGGACTTCAACTCCCAAAATTCCCCAGCCAGCCATGCTGAAGTCCACACATCTTAAAGTTGTCAAGTTTGAAAAACACCTAGTATGAAAACAAGGTATCTGAAATGAATGGAGATTAAGCCACCAGCCATAGTTCATAGAGGACCTGTTTTGCATTCATACAGGGTTGGAGAAACTCTCCCCTGAAACATTGGAAGTCGTTGCCCCTCATTGTGGACAGTTTGTGGATAGGTAGACCAGGGTTCTCCGTGAAAGCCTTTGTTCTTTGCTTCTGCTTCAGGGGATCTGTTTGCAGAGCATCTTACAAAGGCCTCCCTTTCCTCCACTTGATTGACGTTCCACCAAAATAGCCTCTCTTTCTTCTTGTGCTTTGCCCACCGTCCTTGCTCAGGTCAGTCTGGACTCCCGTGTTCGTGAAGGCATCAACCGCAAGATGCAGGAGCCATCCTCACATACCTTTGACGATGCGCAGCTACAGATTTACACGCTTATGCACAGAGACTCTTACCCCCGTTTTCTGAACTCTGCCATATACAAAGCACTGCTCCAGAGCGTCTCTCGGTCATCTTCGGAGTCTTAAGCCCTTCCAGTATCATCAACGGAGGTACCAAATAGGAAATGAAGGATGTCCTTTCCTAGAGCAGGTGTTATTTTTTTTCTTCTTCTTTAAAAAAGAGATCTCCCAAATGAGCTTACAGAACAAATAGACTGAAGATGTAACCCAGCTGACTACAGACAACAGTCCAGTTGCTGGAAAGTTCACTCCACATAAGCCTGCCTGGTTTTCTTCATTCAGAAAAGGGCCCATGCCAGCCACTGTCACAGAACTTCAAACTCAGGCTTCTACTTTTATTACGGAATCAGAGTTGGCAACCAGCATCTGGCTGACCACACAAGAGATCGAGAATACAGAATGGAGCAACTAACCAGCAAAGATTGGGATGAAGACATCAGGGACAACAATGGCAGAAGAAGACAGGCCAAAGTCCACATTTCCTGAATGTTGATTTCTCTTTGATGTGTTTCTCATTCTCCCCATGTTTATGAAGAATTATTTCCATGGTGTTCTTGTAGACACAAAGAACTCAGATGGTTCAAGTGGAAACTGCAGTTAGGTCAGTTTAATGGGATTAAGAAAAGTTCAGATTTTACAAAAGTATGTGCACGTTTTCTGCATCTCAAACACTTTCCGTTCACAGGCAACATTTATTCTAGGTAGGCTCCTCTCACCTCAGATTTGAGAAGAAGCAGATGAGCTCTTCAAGGGACAGATAGGATAGCTGATAAATGGCTCTGCCATAGAAGCTCTGCAGGAAAACCAACGTGAAAATTGATAGGTCCTAAAGATCTCCCCAACATTGTAGGCCACATTTCCCTTGCATCTCTGATGCACGTGGACTACAAAGACTCAAGAGGTCTTCAGTGACAAAGAGGGTTCTTGAGCCTGTCATGCTCTGGATTTCAGATTGAATTCCAGTTTCTTCCTTTTTCAAAAGCCAAAGGGCTGTTCTGCAGATGGGATTGTGGGTCTACCAAGCTTCCTCTGGGAACAAGGATTAATGCCCTGCCACTAGGCACAATGAAGCAGCCCCAATCTGGAGCAGCTGCTCTATTGTGCCTAAGACTCATAGCTCTCTGGAATGGTTTGCTGGTTTGGCTGCCCTCAGTGCCTTCTACCTACTGTGGTAGCAATGGCATCTATCTTCACAAGCAGCCACTGTAGCCCTTTTACAACAAATTGCTCTGAAGAATCAGAGTGATGTCTTTAAGGAAGGTGCCCACTGATGACCAGAGGATGGGTTACAGCTATCTTGTGACTAGAGAACAGGAGCATGGGAAAGCGCACCCAAGAGAAATGACAAGTCTTCCATCTCAAGAAGTGGGTTGTCCTCCTGATTTGGGTAGGCTGATCTCTGAGTTGCCCTTCTCAGAAGCAGAACTGGATGGAACAGCTGGCCTCTTATTGCAGCACTATTCTGTCAGCCTTGTAGAAGTAATAGGATGATCTTACGTAGGTTCTCTAGTTGCCACTGGGCAGTAGTCCAAGATGAGATCTTCTTCATTCATTTGATGTTATTTTATAATCTGCTGATGGGATTCCTGGAAGCATCTCTTTGGTCACTCTAGGAAACAAGATCCTGGCCTAGGTGGACCTTTGGCCTGATTGAGCAACCCTTTCCTTAAATGATCTGCCAGGGTGGAATGGAGTGATCCAGATATGCCCATCTCAGAAACAGAGCAACCTTTTATCCTACCAACTCACTGGAGAAGTCTGGATCCTCTTCACTGGGGTCCATTCTTACCCACAATGCCAAAAATGATGAAACGTGTTGTGACATCACAATGCAAGTCCATAAAGGGGTGGAGTTGGGGCTACGATGCATGTTTCATCCCTTCTCCGGTGGAAACCTATGACCTTTGGCAGCATTCAGCACTTGGTAGCTTCCATAAGTCTTGGATAGCAGTTCCAGATGACCAGAAGTTCTACAGTACTCACTGCCAGTGCCAGCAGATTGGGAGGGTGATGGGTTGCAGAATATAACCCTAAGGATCCAGGAAAAGATGGCCTGAGAACACGTTGCTGAGTAGCTGAATCTGAGGGGAAATCTCTAGCATCCAGGGCCATTACACTCCACTCTAGGTATAGTTTTGATTCCTTTAAAAGCTCTACCCTGTCTGTATGGTCTCTCCCAATCATATTTGTTCCAGCAATAGGCAAAGCTGTTGTCTTCTAACACGATGGGAGATCTGCCCTGGATGGAACAAACTCCACTTTATTCTGCCTGTGTAGTTACTCAAAATAAGTTCTCACCCAAACCATGTTACTTCTCAGCCATTGTCCACTGGACCAACGCTGTATGAATCCCTTCGCTCTGAATATGCATTGGATTTTTCTGTCTCATCTTCTATCAAAGATGTGGCATCCCCTCTCTTTTCATAATTAGAAATGCTTCTCTGTTGTCTTGTTTTGGGTGCTGAAATGGTAGTGGATGCTAAGAACAGGACAAGTTTTAGGGTTTGTGTTCCTTTGCTCAGGAGAGAGGGACCCCAAATCATCTCTGCCCCCTATTGCATTTTCCTAAAGAGATGTCTGTGAGTTGTAGAAAGTAGTTTTCCAAAAACTGGTCACCAAAATAGATTTTTATTGGCCTGCCCAGTAAAGACCTTTCTCTGACTCATTCTTGTCACTGCAGAAACACGTGAGTTTTGTGGCCAGTAAGATAGATTCTTTGTCTGATGTCTTTTAATCACCTTTCCCATGTTCCTATAATTTGGAAAACAGCCTTGGAATTACATAAGGACGTGTTTCTTTTCCATCCATTTCACATCATAGTCCAATTCAGAGGACATGCATCCACATGGCTGAGTTCAAAAACATATTCTTTGTGACTTGTGGGAACTCTCTTCCACCAGAAGAAATAAAGGGCCAATTGAGTAAATCGAAAGCATTTTTTTTTTTACATCTACAAAGAAGATAGGAATATCAACAGGCATGCTGTAAAATGGGATTTTTTTCAAACTGGGTTCCGTAAAATCCTCCGTAAGGACTTGAAGGGGTTCCACAGGACTAAGAAACTCTTTGCAAGGGACTTAAGCATTAAAAAAAAAAAAACACTGAACACACTCAGCCATCAGGTTTCTGCCTTGATGCTGCAGATTTCCATAGCAATTTCTTCTAAAGCAGAGAAGGGTGGGGCTCATCAGCTAACATTCAGAAGCCCCACCTCTCTTAATTAGGGATTCTGGGAATTTTTAAGATAAAACAGGTTCTGTAGCCTGAAAAAGTTTGAAAACCCCTGCTCTAGAACACAGTTTCTCAACCTTGGCAACTTTAAGATGTGTAGAGGTCAGCTTCCAGAATTCCACTGGGATGGTGGGGAATAGAGCAGTTTATGGATACTTCCCGCAGTATTAATTTTCACAATTCAGTCATATGTCATAGACTACATGGAATACATGGATTAAAGCTGACACACCCATAAGGCAGTGCATAATTTTACAAGCTGGGTTCACGTGATGTTATGATTTAAGTTCTGTTGACTTAACAGAAGTTCAACAAGTTCTGTTGACTCTGTTGGCTTGGTTGGCATGCCATGCTAAGTCATAAAAATGGTTTACAAATGGCTGTCTTGGTTCGCACACCTTGCTAAGCCAAAAATAAACCATCATGACTTAGATGAATTTTTAAAAAATGGTTGGAAGGGTAAATAGATAATTACGGAAGAACAACCATGGCTGGTTAGCTAGAATGGGAAAATCCAACACCACAGTTCAGTTGCAAGTTCCAGCTTTGATCACCATTGGGTTGACGTTCATGGCCCTTAATGGTAGACTTCAGTCTTCCATGTATAAATATAGATTTGAAACCACTTCTGGGTTAGGATAGTAGAGCATGTAGATCTGTAGCAGACAGCCTTCAGGATTTCGGAGCGCAATTGTCATGAGACACACATCTACCTGCGGTGGCTGCCCTTGTGACTCTTGTTTATGGGGTGTGGCTGCTGTCAAGTCATGTCTCATGAGTAGCAAAGTCAAGATGAAGAGAGGCAAAACAGGTAAGATTGTGTCATTTAATGGCCTTCCTGCCCAACGTGGAGATAACCTTCTGGAGCTCTTTCCTGTCCTGTTTACCCACTCTAAATAATTTGGTGGCGTTGCCCAACTGCTAACAGCTCATCCGTAAGTTCAGAACATTTATGACAAAAAGAACTGGTTCCAGTAGAGACATGGAAATCCTCTCATTTACATTCCTCCATTATGAGAACTGCCCATTTCCACTGTTTTCTTCAACCAGTCCATAAAATGTTCTGCCCTCTTATTCCACAGCTACTAAATTCGCCCTGGAGCCTTTGGTGAGGGACTTGATTAAAGCTTTTTTTTTTTATTCAAGAGAATATTGAACCACATCACCCCACTTATGTTCTTTCTGACACCCTTAAAGGTTAGTGAGTCCACTTTGGACTTTGCAGCTGTGAGCCAGGCAGACTTCTGTGACATTAGTTAGTTTTGCCTCCAATAAACTGAGACAAGCTGGAATGGATTTTTCAACTCACACCCATGACTGGAAGCACCGCAATTTTTTTTCCTGAATGTTGACTACCAAGAGATAAGTTGTTCACTGCTTACTGATGTTGATAAACAATGATCTAGCCAAATGTTGTATTTAGTTTAAGCATCAATTTTGGCCTGTCAGCAAAAATAGATCCCCCAAGGGCACTTTACAAAGATAAATATTTTCCTTCAAATTATAATCCAAACACAGAAGGAAAAGAAGTTGAGATGCAGGAATTCAAAAGCCAACCTAGATTCTCAGCTACAAAGTCCTTGCCAGTGTTCCTTCTTGGCAGGAAAACAAAAGCCATGTGCTTCAGGAGATGGTCATTTTCTGTGGGTCTCTGGTGCAAGAGTCTACACCGTTCTTCAGAGGCAGAGTTTAATTTTGTTGACGAGCTGCTTCTAACGGTTTACATTCTCATCTCAAGCAAAGAGAAAACAGAACTTGGAGGTCCAAAGGATAACCCAGCAAAAATAATTCCGCTTAAAAAGTCATGTTTGCAGCCTTGGAGCTTTGGATCTCCTTATGAGCTGGGACAGACAGTACATAATTAATTGGTACACAAATAGTGGCTAAATTTGAACCTACCCTTGGATGTCAATTCCTGCCTTCCCCATCTTTACTTGGGGCTGCTGATGACTTGGAGGACCAAAGGCTCTCCACCTGTTTATGGAAATCACTGCCATAAGATGTAGCCACATACTTTGGTTTTGAAATGTCTCAAGGCCCAGAGAATTGATTTATCTCAGGTTATTGAATTTATGGTGGCTAAATAGGTGCTCAGGCGGTACTAAATGCTGAAGATCTGTTTGCAAGTTGTCCTGAGGCAGCTGGCTGGCCTTTTTTGGGAAGGCGCTGGACTAGAGAGGAACCCTTCCTCCTGTTATTTCTAATGACTGTACTGTGATACATTTCTAAAGGGATTTCAATACAGAGAACCCTGCTCTTGGTGGCATGCAGCAAATTACTATATTCCCTGGTATCTGCATTTTTTTAAAAGACACACTGCCTTTCCAAGCACAGATCTCCTTGAACATGGAATGTTTGAATTCAAATTATTGATTGAAAAAAGCTTCCTATTCCTTTAAAATGAAAACACTGTTTGGTACAGGATCTTAGTTGCAAAACCTTTGGGATCCTTTTCAATTCCTATCCCATAATCCCACCACCACCGCCACCACCATACATGTGTTTTTGAAATAATGCTGGATAACAGCACTGAATAATTAGCTGAATGTATCAAGTTTCTTTCCCCACCTTGAATTGCTCCAGTAAGAATGAAAATGCTTTGGGATACAGTAAATATATTTATTTTTGTAAAATATAAAACAGTGAACTTGAGAGTGGATCTGCAGACTCAAATGCTAGATTTGCCATATTTAGCATTTTCTCAAGTTGGCACAGAGACAAAATAGCTGTGGAATCTGGCCACATATGCACCCAGTAGGGGCCCCAGTGATTTATGTGCTGAGATTGTGATGTCAAATCCTTTCCTCTCTAAATATTGGACCCACCTTTCCTTCTGCAAAAATGTCAGCAGCCTTCTTTTTTATTAAAACACACACACGCACGCACACACTTTTCCACTCAAACAAATGAACTCCACTGTAGTTTTGAGTTGAAGGTTATCTTGGAAAGAATGACAAAGAAAATGTTTTTCTGGTGTATTTTCAATGGCTTTTTATTTTGCCACTGAAACTTGAGGCAAAGGGATGTTTGAATATATAGCCCAAGCTTGGTAAATTATTGGTTTGAGTGTTTCCTTCTGCCCAACCAGAGATTCTATAAAATCAATCCTACATCTCAAGCTTCTTTACAATTATTACTGATAGATAAAGCCCAATCCTGTTTTATTTCAGGCTTTCATTTAAGACAGAATGATGCTTGGTTTGGCTAACAGTCAGAAAGTCCATGCTACACATATGGGGGAGGGGAGCGCACACATACACACTTGGATCTTGAGAAAATCCTGTTCTCTTCACTCCTTTAACAGGCAGGATGTGGCTCATTCACATAGGATATTAACTAGATTACTGAGTTAACTTATTTGCTGGGTCCCTATAATACATTAACCAAGGATTAACCAAACAGTCTGCATGGGAACAACAGTCTAAGCCCAAAAAATATAACCAAGGTTAACATTAACCAAGTTAGTTGATGGCGTAAATTCTCAGTCTTCATTTAACGTAGTCAAGTATATTGGGTGAAGGTAGCCACGTGGTTTCCCTTTTTCTCCAGATGGTTTGATCTTCCACTTCTGTCAACTCTTGGAGAAGGGATTCTGCTACCCCCAAACTGCTATATTCACAAACCAGCTGGGCCAAGAAGCCAGACAAAATATTCCAGAAGATACTTGAGGAAACATTTACTTTAGCCCTCTTCATACATTCCTCACAACATCTGATGGCTTAAAACAGTATTTTTCCAAACTTGGCCACGTTAAGATGGGTGGACTTCAACTCTCATGGCTGGCTGGGGAATTCTGGGAGTTGAAGTCCACCATCTTAACGTGGCCAAGTTTGGAAAACACTGGCTTGAAATGAGGCAGTGCACAAGGTCTTTTCCAATATGCCCATCTCACCCATGATTTCAGATCTTCCTGTTTGAGCAGCGAGATTTGAAAGACATTTCAACCCATATTCTGCTGAGCATATCGCTCTCCTTGGAACTGCACTTATATTTTCTCATATTCAACTGAACACAGATGGAACCCTTTTCGAAACCTCAGTGGCTACATCCAGCCTGGTTACTGAGTTAATCCGTTATCTGTGTTTACATAGTACAGTGAGACGTAAGCTTACTCTAAGGTTGGGGTTGGCCAACAGATTAAGGTCTACAGACAAAGACCAGTTGTGGGACCGACACGCACACAGAATGACTTGCTGGTCGGACATACTTTTGCCATCCACGTGGCCTGGCATTGGGCAAGACCTATATCAATCTATACTTTTATTAAAGTTTTTAATTTTTTAAATTTAGATTAATAATTTCCCCTTTTCTAGTTCCTGAATTTCTGACGCAAGGTGAGCTGCTGAGCCTTTAAGTCGCTTGGGGAAGCATGCTGTGTGACATGGCAAGGTCTGACCTAGGTCGTTGTCCAGACACATGTGCCAATAGAAGACTGGGGAACAACAGACATGGTTCTGCTTTCCCCCCAGATTTAAATTTGTTTGAAGGTTTGAAGTTTGCAATGGCTCTGCGGGTGCACTGCATCAAAAGCAGATGGCTTTGTTCTTCAGGTAGGAATTTTATTATTTTGCATTTGCAACTGTACACGGAACATACAAAATCAAAAGAAAAACGAGAGAGGGCCAGATCACTAGATGACGCAGCAAAGGCAGAGATACAATCCAAGCTACTCTAGGTTAACCGTCTTTCCAAAAAAGGGGTCTTCTGCCTCCATGAATTGAGCCTCTTCTCTAGACCCACTGCATGCTTTCATTTTCCTGGCAAGCTTAGCTACATTAGCTGACTGGAGGGGAAGGTCTAAACAGTGTTTCTCAAACTTGGCAACTTTAAGACAGGTGGACTTCAACTCCCAGAATTCCCCATTCCACCTGCCTTAAAGTTCCCAAAGTTGAGAAACACTGGTCTAAAATCTTGTACTGCAGGTCTTTTCTGGGACCTTGCACAGGAGTTAGATACCACCAGCCTAAGCAAACGTCTGCCTTTCCCCTTCAGCTATGAAATACCAAAGCAGGACCTCAGACCCACCGGGACTCTTCCTTTTACAAACTCCAATATTTCTGTGCTAGTAGTACCTGCACCTACAGGCTACAGAGATACCTGTGCATGCAGGCCAAATCACTCCCCTAAGTTTGCTCTCTTTTCACATGCATGTGTATACACACAAAGCAGAGACTCATCCTGTATGGGAAATGGAAACTGCTGTGCAGATGCAATTAGAAGAGGGCAGTTGTAGTCCTAGTACGTACAAAGAACGCAGGAAGGTTAGGGATTTCACACAGAGCAGTCAAAAGGAATGCTAACCAAATTCTCTCCACTTTACACACGGCAATTCCCAACATTCTTTGGACAGAGTGGAAGCTTCAAACTTACAAGGCAGCTGAAAGAGAGCAGGAAAATAATCTCTGCTTTTTTTCCTCAACCCAATTGCCAAGAGCCTGGTTAGATTAAAGCTATCCTCCCAGAGGCTCTTCCTCAGTGAGTTTTGCATTTTACTTTCCCTCCCAGCCTCATTTTCTTTTGAAGCACATGCCTTTCATCTCTTGACAACAGCGACCCGCTTTTCGGAGAGGTTCTGTTTCACAACCCAGACACGTGACATCTATCCCATATATTTAAACTGATTTGAAAATCATTTCACCGTGTTTCCTGTTCTTTCCAGCCCCAAAACAAAATGAAACAGGATGAGCTATACTTCAGTAAAGGGGCTGAGAGGTCTTGACCAAGAATCCTCACATCCCCACGCCACTATGGAGTGGCTTCCACTCTGTAGTACAGGCAGGTTTGTGCAGAGAAAGCTAAAATGTCATCCTGCAAAACACAACGGGGCCTTTGCCTGCCTCGGTACTAGGGAGTTGGGTTAATACTCATTTTAGCTTTTGAGAGTCACGCCGGGAGCCAAGGAAAGTCACAAGAAGCTTCTGTACACTTTGAGGCTCAAAACCAGACACCTGGCCGTTTAAAAGAAAAGAAACGAGAACAAAGAATGCTTAATACTGTTCCACACTCTCACAATACTGACTAGGATGAGAAATTCCAAAGCTGGCTGGTCCGCGTGAACTTTCCATCAAGTGCCATCCCAGCCTCCGTTCCTAGCCACTGCTACTTCCCACAGGTGTGCAGACAGCAGGGCCCTCCTCACCTGGGTGATGTACAGAGCACAAAGCAAACTTGGCGACAAAACAGTACAAAATCTGCTGGCGGTACTACAGGAGTACAGGGCAGAGCTCCGACCCCGAATCGGTTGCGGCTGCTCCCCTCGGAGACGTTTCAGCAGAACTGTAAGAGGTTGATGGGATTTAGAGACATAAACCATTTCTCAAAAGCCTTTTCTGCTGAAGTGGGAATGAGAACTCAGTATACCCACAGATGCACGAAGAAGGTGTGTGTGTGTGTTTTTCCCCTTGCAGAATGGTGGGCTTGTAGTTCAGCTGGGTTGTTATGGTGGAGGACTGGCAGGAAAAGGATGGAATTCGTGATGGAGAGGTGCAGTTAGCCAGGACTCTGAGCTAATGACCGGGTTCAATGTCCTTGGATGAAATTATATACATGACATATTGAGGTCCTATTGCACATAGGGATCCACAATCCTACCTTTTTTAGGACCACTCAAAATGTCACAAAGGAATGTGCAAGTGTTTCACTTAGAATGCCTTAATACAGTGTTTCTCAACCTTGGCAACTTGAAGGTGAGTGGACTTCAACTCCCAGAATTCCCCAGCCA